ACGAAAACCCAACCCCGATGGCAAAACACCGGGGGGGGCGGACGGGAAGGGGGAGGCGAAATAATTTTCGATAGAAAACGTCTTCAGCCGCAGTTTCTTACTAGGGCTTGGGGGAAACGGAAAGCTTGTCGTATAGCAACAGCAGGTCACGAGCATGTCACACCGCTGTGTATGCTCAGATCCGCGGATGGGTTCCGAGAGAACAAATCGTCTTCAAATATTGTGGCAAGACAGACAAAGGGCTAGCGAAGAAGAAAATATGCTGCTACGTACACAAGCAACAGCTTGCGTTAAATGGCTGTCGACTTTCCTGCCAGCAGCGAAAACATTTTTAAGAGAGAGGGTGAAATATGCTACGAAGTACATTACCTTGAGGGAGTTCGTCACGAGCATCAAGACTTCCTCCTGGTCCGTCAGCAGCAGGGTAAGGCCAAGGTACCCGATCCGCTTGTCCATGTAGTTGGGGGACGTGATGAGCTTGATGCACTCCATCTGCCCGAAGTGCGACGGGTAGCCTGCAAACAGCACACCGCAAAGAGGTGGAAGCGAGGGGGGGAGAGGGCGTACTCTGATGTGTTGCATGCCTTGGCAGTTAGACCATTGACCAAGTCCTCGAGGGAACGGAGTATTGTTCCTACAGTACCGATCACGGATGGCCAATCGTTCCTTTCTACTTTGCCAAAGGTGGTTCAACTGTTTTTCCCTCGTCTATCTATCCTATCAATACAACTTCCAGCCTCTTCAACCCACCTCCTATACCCCAGCACAGCTAACGTCTTCTCCTGGCTATTCCATGCCTCAAACATTTCGTTCCTCCTTCTACTTTTGCCAGCTCAGTCATGTACACTTTCACTCTCCTTGTGGTACAACGGACATTCCGCAACTACATGAACCTGGTCTTCGCACTCGGAGCCGCATTCACACTTGAACTTGTTTCATCGTCTACCTCTCAAACTCTTCGTCTTACGTTCTCGAAGGCCAATGTTCAGGGGGTACGCAGAAAAATAGGGGTAAGAGTCTGCTGGATGGTCGCGTCATGACGTGGCTTGAAATTATCGCTGCAGGTATGTACTTGCAGCCGCCGCCGCCGCCGCTACCGCTGCTGTTTCTGCTGCTGCTGCAAGGACAAGGAAACCGTTAACATCCACAATTCCCCCCCACCGTCGTGTGCCTGTCTCAAGCAAGAGAGACAGGAATAAACACCGCAGCGTCTTCGATTCTTGATCGCTCGGCACGACGCTCCACGCCCCCCCGTAACCCCTACACGCTGCAAATCGAATACAGCCTTGCGGCGACAAACATGTCCCTTGCAGATAATAATGGCAAATAACCCATATAATCTCACCCGGACGATACGATGACAGGGAACTACCAGGGCCTTAGAGAAACTAGTTATTGTCCTGGTGTACCGCTCCCACCATATTCTCCTATCTGAGGGGGGGCTAATGATTTCTGATTTTCTGCCGGAGCCATCGGGTGCAGCAAGGGGAGCTGAGCTCGAAGGCAGGCCGGTGTTGCCGTATTCTGATGTAAGTTACAGGGTTCTGTTTGACGGGCTTCTTGTCTCCCACAAGAGCGCCGCCACAAACAGGAAAGGTCTCTCCGCGCTTCTCCCGCACACACACCCAGCGCACGCGTTGAGCGCATGCAGGCGGTTTCCCGGAGGAACAAGGCTACCGACACAAAGAGGGTTCATCCGCACGTTGCGTAATATACCACCCCCCCCGGGATCGATGCTCTCTCGACTGTCACTTCCAAGACAGGAGCGTTGCAGACTCAAACGTCACGTCGTTAGCAATTCTCTCGGTGAGGGGGGATCCAATACCACGATTCTTGGACACCGTTACAATCTTCGGACTGCTGCAGAGTGAATCGGGCTTTGGAGAGCATGTCCGGGTGGGGGGGTGGTATCTTGTGTAGGATACGGAGGGATTCCTAAGCAGCAGACGTTGAGGTTGTCCCACCTCATGGAGGGATTCAACCTACAACACGACATCATCGTCGCCCCAAGCTGCTTGCTGGTAGAACGTCGTTGACTGATGTGCACCGATTTCGCGCAATCGTCGTGTGCAACACTGCTGTGGATCTGTTCCTATGCAAGCGAGAGAGGATGGGCCCGCGCAGATACGAGGCCGAGGGGCTGACCACACAGAACACCATCGTCACGCGTATTTGTTGCCCTACCCCCTCCCTTCGCGCAGGCGGAATCTCACACACTCGAATAGACAGGGGCTGCTTCGCCTCCCTTCCATGCGTACTCGTCTATCGTCTCACCAAGCATGTGGATGAAGAGTAGCTTGGCGACATTCCGGTTGCGGAACTCGGTGTCTTCCTCCTTAAACGCCGTCCGGATTCGGGCACATTCCTGCGCAACGACGCCTCGCTCCTCGGCCGCGGTCTTGCACGCCCGCACGGCCCGGATCAGCTCACGCAACCTCATCGACATTGTGGCCGCTCACTCAAGTCTATTACTCCCTCCACGCCAAACTGTAAGGGAAAGCCTGTCTCTGGCTCGCTCTCTCTCTCTCCGCCGCTAACGCGGATGTGAGGTGTGCGCACAGCGGCAGCAGCAGCGCGGAACGAAGTTTTTTTTGTGCACGCAAGTGCGCGGCGAGTTTTGGCGACAACGGTGGATGAGACGGTGGGCGGGGACAGTAGACAGCCGTCGCACCCACGGTACCAAAGCTGTCTCGCGTCTCCTCTCACTGCTTCCTTGATTTCTTCTCTCTCCCGCTCCCTCTCTCTCGTGCTGTGTAACCTCTTGTGCTTGCTGCACACGGCCAGGCAAAGGCAAGGGGAACACAGCTAGCATTCCAAAAAAACATACGCACCCCCAGATAAATTAGTACATCTGCGCACCCCCACACGCCCAATAAAATGCGGAGGAATTTCGTTCGTCATGTCAACACATGTCCGCTCATGATGCTGGTCCCCGCCCGTCCAGCAAGCTGTTGTACACGCGTGCGAGCGTCGCTGTGCTGCTGCTGCTGCTGCAGGATGGAAAGTGCGATAGTGGTCGTCGAATGGGGCTGTATAGTAGGGAAGGGTTGTTTCAACCGAAGCAGTTGGATTGTCGAAAGCCGTCATATACGGCAATGAGGTGTGGTCATGCACACACATCTTGTCAGTTTGTTCTGGAATCACGAAGCAATAGTGAGATGAGATCACTTGCTGCTGCGCAGATATTCGAACCTGCTGCTGTCCGCGGAAGCATGCTCACAGGCGGGGCTGGTCCAAGGGTTGCCGTAGCAGCCCCCCTCTCTGCTCACTTCCTTCTTTCCACCGGTGAGACCAGGCTTTTTTGTGTGGTTGTCGAGTCGAATTCTGCACGGATCGCAGCAGCTGGTTGCGCAAATAGCGGACCTCGCGTGATACATGTACTGCTGTCCCTGCTTCACGATGGCGTGTCGTCGCATGGTGTAGAGACGCGTGCCGTCTGCCGCTGTGTGGGGCCAGCATCAAATCAGAAGCATGAGACATCTGCTAGTCATAAGGAGTGAATGAAAGTCTATGACAGGCAGCAGGCCCTGAAAGCTGTTGTGCATGTTGCCCATGGAGCCTCGGGCTGCATCAAGCAACCGTCGCGGTTTATCTACACCGATGCAGCGCTGCCGTGCTTCCGACAGGCTTCAACCTTAGATGGGCCGCACGACAACGCGAGGGGGCACAGGCTCGGCGGACAACGCCGAGCTGGACATGCTCTGATTATAGAGTTGATACCTTTTTTTTAGTTGCCGGCCCATGATGCAAACTCTCCCACGTTGATCTTCACAGCGCTACCAGCGCAACTGAGGCCCCCTGCAACTATCTTACGCGATGATACGCACCGCACCTATTGCCCTCCCCCCCCCTGTGCGATGCTTCTCCAGCCCATCTCCCTCTGCCTCATGTTTGTATTCTTTGACACTGTAGATCCGCGCTACCGCTTGAAAATGTTTTGTCGTGGCCTCCTCCTCCCTGCTGGCAAGAAATGCACACTGCAATGCTAATCGTATTTTATAGACCACCCAAGATAGACCACCGATTCATTGAAATACCGCAAAAAAAAACGCCCTCTTCCCACCTTTTCGCACCCCCGGCGGCTGCGTTCCTCCCTCTGCCCCTGTCTGCAAAACTCAGGATCCCGCAGGCGACAAAAAACCCTTGCACTTTCTCCGGAACAACGTGTCCGAGCCTGACCGCCACCACTTCAAATACTTCGCCTTCAGCAGTTGCAAGTGAAAATCTGCGACGTGATGACTACTTCGGATCCGCCAACCACTGCCACCGCCATGATGATCGAGCCGAGTCCTCCTGCTCCTTCCCCTCCCCCCGCGTCGGACGTTGAGGCAAACGCGGGCATCGAAACCGATCTCGCCGCCGCCGCGAAGGCCTTGCTAAGGAAGAAGATGATGCCGCCGCCGCCGACGACGACTGAGGCAACAACCGCCCCCGCCACCACCACCTCCGAGATGGCTCTCCCAGATGTGTCCGCAGTCGACGCCGAAACGGCTGTTGCGGCCGCACCCGCCCCTCTCGCTAGCGTTGCAGGCGACAGCAGCAGCAGCGGCAGTGACGACGGCATCGAGGAGGATGATGTAGCCGACGCGCCGCCCCCGCGGGGCGGTGCCGCTGAGGAGGCAGGCGCTGACGACGGCACGGAATTGCCTGCATCGGCGGCGGCGGCGGCGGCGGCGGTGGCAACAGCCACCCTAGAGTCGACAGCATGCGTTGTTCGGGGGAGCGAAGCGCAACAAGAAGGCGACGAGCCAGCTGACGATACACCACGTGGTACGTAGTAGAGTGCACCACGGTTGTTGTTGTTAATATGTGTAGTATAGGTCGAATGCTTTTTGCGGTTCTGTTTGTTGCTGGTCGCTTAAGAGGCTTGCGCGGCTGCGGAAGAAGCACGCCGAGATTGTTGTCTTCGTTGTTCTAGTCTGTGCTATGTAGCTGGCCTGTCTATTTCCTTTTTGCCTGCCGTACCGCTTCTGCTGTCCAGGTACATGCAAGTGATCATGAATTGTGTTGAACGGGTACTAAAGATTTGACCTGTCCCAAACCTTCATCATCGGCCGATCTATTCAAGTCGCATGTATAGATTTCGTCTACATTGGCTTTCGATTTTTTTTATATTTCCGGTGCGCACAACTGCGGACATCTGCTCCCGACAACTCGTCAAATTTTCCGACGTCAGCACATCACATGAGCCACAAAAAAAAGTTTATATCGTCTCGGCATATTATACAATGTGAGGCCAGACTAGGGGAAGCAAACATGACATGCCTGCTATTCCAGGCACACGCCACTAGCGGGTTGCTCAATCACCAAAACAACGGAAATACTTTTGCACCGAAGAAAAAGAGCGAGTATCCTGCTACGCAAGGGCGGGCTAACCTCTCGTGCCCGACCGCCCGCCCTTAACAACCCGCCCCCTCGCTTCCACCCCACACTTATCACAAGACAAAATAATGCCGCCCAGTTCGGTGCCCCAGCCCCCTCTCACCCCCGCCCCTCCCAAATCTCTACTCGTCGCCCTGACAGTGACGCCCACACAGGACAAAGAGCCCGTTACCGAGGTTCCAGCAGCACCCGCCGCCGCGCCGCCAAGCGACTCGCCCGCACCCGAGAGCGTTGTTGACGCAGCGGCTGCGGGGGAGACCGGTGGGGCCGACGACGCACCTCCGACGGCAGCGGCGGGATGCAACGATGAACAAGATGCTCCGGCGGCGGATGCCCGAGCAGCCGACGACGTTGTTGCTTCTCCTCCGACCGACGTCGCCCCTGAACCACCATCGGCTGCGGCGGAGGCACCGGTCGAGACCGTCGCGGTGGATGCTGATGCTGTAACGGCGGAGATCCCGCCGCTCACCGCCGAGGCCCTTGTTTCTGGGCAGCCCGCTGTACCCGTCGACGCTTTGACCGAACCAGCGGGCACCGTGGATGCCGGTGAGTGGTGGGGGGGTACTGGTACGCGAGCGATCACCGAGAGGTTGAATGTGATAGCTTCGCGCCTTGCAACGTATGAGGTAGGAGTTTTGGTCATTGTTGTTTTGTGCGTGTTTGTTGTGGCTGCTGTTGATCTTGGACTGTTGTTGTTCCACTATTGTTGATCTCTGTTGTGCTCGTACCTTCCAATATCCGTATCGGAGGGGGATATTTTTGTACGCTAACTATTTGCTACCCCCGAAGAAGTTACACAATCAAAGTAGAAGAGGTTTTTTTTTTCGAATATCCGCCGCTGTTCGTGGTAGTGTTGGCCGCAGTAAGTTGGTACATGGTGACTTGTCGTTACAAACGATTTTTCGCCACTTTCCGTCCGGGTGCCTTTCAGGAATCTTTTTTTTCTTATTTCTTGTTCTTCGTGTGTGCTGCGTTGAAATCATTTACTACTTTTAGTTCTGCGGTAATTCGGACCGCCTACGCGGGGTTTTAAGATTATCTAGAAAAAGAACAGGGAGGGGGCACGCAGACCCTATCCCTAACCCTAACCCTAACCCCAAAGCACGGATTGAATACTTTATCCCATATGTTTGCTTAATCGATTTTGCTGCGTAGACTACGGGGTAATTCTTGGCGGTCAACTGCTTTATCTGGCTTTACCGCAAATCACCACAATCATCACAAGCGAATTTTTTCGTTGCCTTTCACCGTTAACAAATTACCGTATCACTGCACTACCATCCCGTTTAGTTACCGTGAGGCCCGTTACCGGGGGGAAGCCTTGGAAAATCAGCGTGAACGCCGAAAATCAGGTTTGGTTCCACGAGCAAAATCACAACAAGAGTAGGAATCCACAGGTATCACTACTTGATGAGGGCAACGCAAAACCGTTGTATAACCCGAATGAAAGTTCGAGTACACTGAGACAGTTGATCGGGTGGTTTGCAAGCGTTGAGGTTGCTTCGTCAAGCCCCCCTCACCCCCCTAGACCACTCGTTACCAAGCCACAAGGCCCCCCCTCGGTTCGGCCTGAGCCAAAACATTGCATCGTTGGTAGCCCGCCCGGGGATCCAAGGTTGGCCAAAAATTGAGAGTCGACCTCGATGCACGACTTTAAGCGGTCACCGCGGTGATTGCCTCGATGGTGTGTGCGCGTTGATGAAGTATTGTCCCTCTCATAATTGCCCGCCGAAAGCGACTGGAGCAAAAAAAGCATGCACTCCCTTTGAACCTAGACTATCAACGTACCTATCGCAAATCGAAATTATATGTAAAAGATGCGCGTGCATGACGCATCCTCGAACCTCACCGCCGCCCCCCTTCCCCGCCTCCCTCCCGTGCGAACCTGCTACCCCGAACTCGGAGATGAAATTGTAGATCACAAGCTTGGCCGAGAAAAAGCACAATTCACTCCACACCATTTCCTTCGACACCCAATAGAAAAACGAAACATTGCACACAAGTCACTATGAGTGAGGACAACAGCTTTGGGAATCACTGCAAGTGTGCGTGTGCGTACTGCTTCTCTTTTCATCGCACCTGTCATGGGAGGGCCCAGATCATAGGGTTCACGTCTGTCTTTGCGGACCCCCGATAACCGGACCGTCGAATAACGGTGATGACTGTGAAATTATTGGTCGTAACCCACGGGGATACATGCCAACATCCGGGTCCAATTCTAAGAAATATTGGCGTGAAAAAGATATCCTCCACCCCTAGGTCACCGTGTCTTGTATTTTGAGGCTTCACGGGGGATGTCTATTCTCTAATTCCTATGCGAAGCATAGGACTGTAGGAGCCCCGCCGGGGAGAACCAGGTTGCTTCCGGTTAGCCCCTCCTCTCTTGCGAACCTCCGCTCCATGATCACAAACGGTTGGGTGGCACTTCAAGAGAGCGCCTATCCCGCTCAAGGTGTGGGTGAGACGTCCTCGCTACTCAGCACACCCGTACCTCCCATATGCCGCGTGCTTGGGGGTAAGGTTGACTGTTAACCCCTAGCAAATTACCAGTAACATATTCCGCGCGCCCTCGGCGTGAAACGTTGTGCTTTTATACGACGCGGATTAGCTGATGGCTGCCCAACCAATATTGGCGTTTCCCAAGGTCTTTCGCGCAAGAACCGACGTAACTACACGAGTACTTGTTCGGAGTAGATGCAACAAGTATCCGAGAACACTTAATGTGGCCAACGGAGTCCCGATATTCTTGGATTTTTTCGTACATGGAGCATATTGGAAGTGGCAGTCGAGGGGGCCCAATGCTTGGGAGCCTTTTTAACAGCCGAGGCGTTCGGCCAATAAAAGTTAGGTATTCTTCAGGCTTGATTTGTAGCACTTGTAATTAGTGGACGTCCAGCCAGATTTGAGAAAGGTTCGGCGCATTCGCTGGTAGATTCGAGGTTTAACTTGCCACAGACCTCCCTTTAAGGACATTCAAACTCAAATCTGACGGCGCCAGTACAGTGGTGGTCCTGGCTTTGCAGTCCGTAGTGTCGCAAAATGTTGTAACCGCTATTGAGGGCATCGCCGCTAATCCGGATTGGCAGATATGTTGCAGTTTGACTACCGAGGTGCAGCCGTGCCACGAGAGTTTAGGACCGCGATTCAGGGCATCCCTCGTAACAGGAACCGCTACACCGGGACCACGACAGTAACTAAGGCATGTGTTTGCTGCCTCTTGGAGCAAGGCTTCCCCTTTCAGTGTTGTTTTTTCTATTGCGTGTGGTGGGATATGAGGGGTGTCAAGAAACAAGGTGGAAAGGCGGAGCAGCTGTTACGTTGGAAAGTTCATACTTTTCACATCTTCGTCTAGCTTGGAGGTTTCTGATTGGCCGAGACGCTCTCCCTTTGGCCCCTATACTGTAGCGCCGCGACTGCGATGGCCTCGAGCAGACAAACCAGGCATGTCACACTACTCCCTTGCGCTCCGGAAGTACTCTGCTACCATCACCCTGAAGATGACTGCAATATTTTGCTCTGATCGAATTTCGTGTCTCCATTGCGACGAATTACTGTGATTGATCTTTCGTGCGTCCATCTTGCACCCAGAGTGTGATTCTTTCACTCGAACGCTGCGTGATTGCTTGCTCTGACCGCCCAATAACCCGACACCGTCCTCGACACTGCCTGCCGCTCCGCTCTCTACCCCGCGCCACTGCTTCAGAGTCCCCGGTCGAAGAGAAGGGCGGCGTGCCCGAAGACGACACGCCCGCCGGCGACGACGCCGAGGCCGACGGCGAAGCGCCGCCGTCGGAAAATGAACAAGAACAAGATCAAGAACGCCTCTCCGAGGCCGCGACGATGGCACCAGCTGACGACGATGCCGCCGATCCCCCCACCTCCGCCGAACCGTCCCCAGCACCAGCGGGAGAAGATGCCGCCGCTTTCGCTTCCGCCGCATCCGCCGAATCGCGCGCGGCACCAGCGGAAGATGATGCCGCTCCCTCCGCCGAAGCCTCTGAGTCGCCGCCACCGAACGAGGAGGAGAAGGAAGCGGCGCCGGTCGAGGAGGCTCCAGGTACCGGAGACCTGTCGAGGACCGTGGTCGACGGCATCGAAGATGAATCCGCGGCGCCCCCAGTCAGAGACGCCGCCGCCGCCGCCGCCGCCGCTGTTGGTCCCGCTGATGCGGCGGAACCGCTCAAGACGGCCGCGAGCGTGGAGGAGCCGGCACCCGTTGAGGCGGCAGCCCCGGGTGGAGACAAGACTCCGCCGGAAGGCGAGCAGCCGGCGGCCCCGGCCATGGCGGTCGAAGGTACTGCCGCTGATGATGTTCCAGCCGCCACCGCCGACTCGTCTGAGTCGCCGCCGCAGCCGCCGCCGCCTGGAGAAGGCGGCGGGGCGGCGGTTCCTGAGGACACGGCGGACGGCGTCACCGCTGAACAGGACGACTCTTCTGCTGGTGCTGCCGGTGAGTTGTGTGAGGTACATGTAGTACAGGTGGAATGTGTCTACGAGAGGGAGCCAGTGCTTGAGGTACATTCTGTTTTGTGAAGCATCGGCCGGAGGTTTTATTGCGTCCGTACGCCGGAAACGATCAGCGGTATTTGTTTTGGACTGTGCGTCACCAAGTGAAGTATTCTGAAGGAGCACATGTTCCATTCCTCTGTCTGCAAGCTGTTTCCCAGTCCCTCCGAAAAAAACAGTCGCACAAATGTTTGTCATCAGCCTTGGTCGAGGGGCTACAGTCCCGCCAAAAAATCTGAGCTCCTTGCCAGCGAAAGGGTGACTTGACTTCAGTATGAAATGGTGCCCCAAAACACGTCACCCTTGGACACTTTTCATACTGAAGCAAAGTCAGCATTTTTTTCCATTACCAGGCGATATTCAGTTTTTTTTAGGCAAGTGCATTGGGAGATCATGGTATCCATGAGTTGGATTGGGCCGGCGTGCATGCGCGCGTGCACGAGCTCGGCTAGAGAAGGCCACACGCGGCGCAGGCGCACAATAACAGAGGGTTTGTCGTGAAGTAACTGCGGGTAGGAGAGCAGTGTTTCTGGCATTCGATCGTTCGTGTTGTTGTTCAGCCGAGGTGCGCTGTGAATTTGAGAGGTCACCGAAAAGGAATGCCCCCTGCGTACGAGACCCAGGGTGACACCGCGTTTTTTTTTCGATGTATGCCACGTTCAACATACGCCCTTCGGAAAATGGAGTTTTCCTTTGGTTGCAGCAGACACCGCTCGGGTGCGCTCCCAAGACACATCGTCTTCGGCACATTCCACAGTTGCGCGTGGCAAATAATTTTGGACCTCTAGCCTCATATCATGCACAATTACCTCGTCTTCCGATGTACATATGTGATCCACGAGAACCCTATCGCCACGGCTGCTGGTGGCGTTGTCTTCGCAAAGAATTGGCAGTTCTCACGATGCGTCCTTTTCTTGAATCGTTGCCAGTACACACGACCGACGGGACCTACAGCGCATTGCTGATCCCCGTGCCACACACACCCGCTCTTTAAAATGCCAGCTGAAGCCCCCCCCCTTACCCCCCGTTCCACATTTCTTTCTTCGCAGAAGAGGACGCGACGCAGGCCGTACCAAGCGAGGCCAGCACCAAGCCGTCCCCACCGGTCGTGCCCGCGGAGACCGAGCCGGCAACAGCAGCGCCAGACGCTACTGCCGACGAGCCTGCCGAGCGGTCCCTCGAGGGGCCCGCCGAAACGCTGGCTGTCGACGCCGCCACCGAGGAAACCCCCGCCGCCGCCGCTACTACCGAGGACGACGTCGGATCTGCCCTCGTTGTCGAAGACGCGGTCGCCGATCCGTCGCCAGCTGAGGATGATGCGCTTACTGCCACGGGCACGGTGGTTGAGCCTGCCGCCGAGGGCGGAGACGGTGACGCAGAGACGGCCGTTGCGGCGGAAGTCGAACCTGCAGAAGAGGCCACCGCCGCCGCTAAGGGAGAGGAACAGGCGGTGGTTGCCGAAGACGCTGCCGGTGAGTTGGCGGCGGTGAGCGCTTGGCGGTGTGCGGGGTGCTCTGCCGCGATTTCAGTTCATCAATGGTAATTATGTGTATGAAACGGCGGCTAGTTCCCTTTGCCTCCCCCACCAGTCACGTTTTCGGTCGGTCGCTTTTCGAGTGGTGTCGTTGTTTGTCTTTGGTTTTGGTCGTGCAACCTTGCCGTTTGTGTGTGTTTTTGTGTATCACTGTTTAATTTTCTTGCTTCTAATAAAGATAAGCTGTCGTTGTTGATACCCACGTCAAAGGTGTCGCCACCCTCGTAAGGGCACATTCGTGGCTACCCACCACCGCTCTGCGTGCCTCAGCCCAAATTCAATTCTCATACCTCGCTCGCTGCTGCTCGAGGGGCGAGCCGCAGCAGCATTCGCACTTCGTCGTCGACATTCTCCTATTAGCTTTCACCCAGCCCACTCGCCGTCAGCAACAAATAGTCCGCCGCTGCTTCTGTCCTCCGCACTTGCCTTCTTTGTCTCACCCGCAGAAGAGCCCGCCGCCGTCGCGGAAGAGACCGTCGCCGTCGCGGAAGAACCCGTCGCAGCCACGGATGAGCCCATCGCCGTCGCGGAAGGACCAGTGGCTGTCGCGGAGGAGACCGTCGCCGTTGCAGAAGAACCCGACGCCATCGCGGAAGAGCCCGTCGCAGCCACGGAAGAACCCGTCACCGTCGCGGAAGAGACCGTCCCCGTCGCGGAAGAACCCGTCGAAGCCACGGATAAGCCCGTCGCCGTCGCGGAAGGACCAGTGGCTGTCGCGGAGGAGACCGTCGCCGTCGCGGAAGCGGCCGTCGCCGTTGCAGAAGAACCCGAGGCCATCGCGGAAGAGCTCGTCGCAGCCACGGAAGAACCCGTCACCGTCGCGGAAGAGCCCGCCGTTGTCGCGGACGAAACGCCTGCCGCTTCAAGCGACGGCGTCGCTGAGGACGTGGTAGCCGAGCGTGTGCCTCCCGTCAAGGAGAAGGACGACGACCTCGCCGAGGCTGTCGTTGCGGTGGAAGCGGAGGCTGAAGCGGGTGCCGGCGTAGAAAAGGATGCGGAGGAGGGGGAGGAGGAGGAGCCGGTCGCCGCTGGCAAGGAAGAAGAAGCGGTAGCCACCGACGGAGCTGCCAGTGAGTGCACGTCGCGCGATAGAGGAGTTCCGTAGGGAAGGCGGTGCTCAATAGGGGTACTTTCTTTCGCTCTGGTAAATTTGGCCGATAGGGTTTGGTGTCGCCTTTTGTGCGCTGGGTCGGCGGTATGAAGGTTTTGCTGTGCCTGCAGCGCTTTTATTATCTTTCGTGGACGTTGGAACTTCGTGAGTACAGGATCAGGGCTTTTGCCGTTGCCGAATTTCACTCGTTACACATACCTGGCTTTCGCCTTGCTGGACACTGTTGTCCGCCCACTCGGCTGCTACGGGCGTGGCGCGTCGCGGTGCAGGGTTCTCTGACTCGCTGAAGAGGCGTTTCTGCTTGGCTACGGGTGTGCTCTCCAGGGCTTTCGCAGTCACTGTCGACAACCACCCACAAACTCATCGGCTTTGTTTATCCTCGGTTACTGACAGCTTGATTCGACTTGTATCACAACAGTAGCATCTGATACTTCTACTACAGTCTTGTTCTCTGGCGGTTTGTCGACTAACATGACGGTGAGTGCAGCTGAGCCGCGAGAGACACGATCTACATATCCCCTCCCTGCTTCTCTGGTGCGTTTTCTTTTTCGCTTTCTTCGAAAATATTCACTCGACCTTCGCGCCACGGTGTTTTGTATTATCCTGTACAACATGCAGCCCCGGCGGAGGAAGAAGAAAGTACCGAAAGAAGCACCGTCCAAGAGGAGGCCCAGACCGAGGTCGTCGCCGAAGGCGAGGGTGACGTCCCTGCCGCTGATGCCTCTCCCGATGAGACGCCTTCCACGGCAGAGTCCGCCGACGTCCCCGCTGCCGAACCTTTGGTGGACGATGCCGCCGCTGTTGCTGCTAGCGCCGGTGAGAGGGTGGCCTTGCTTGTTTGTGTTGGCACCGAAAGGTAGGGTGTGAGTACAAACGCGGGTGTGTGTTTTGTGTCGTTAGATTTGCCGACGAAACGTGTGTGGTGGCGGTAGTGTTTCGTGTTGTCGGGACAGGCGGAGGAAAAACCTCAGTCTTGCTCTGCGTATCCGTGAAGAAAGTTGTTGCCATGACGACCACCGTAGCCTGCGCCAACCCCGGGCATGTGCCGATCTACTTGATCCCGCTGATCCCCTTCGCCCGGCCCTTCCGCACCACCGCCCACGCGTTCCCTTAGGGGAGGAGCCCGCGGCACCGGAAGAAGAGTCCGTGGCCAAGGAAGATGACCCCGAGCCAGCGGGCATACCCGTTGCCGCCGAGGACGCCGCCGTGACCGTCGACGAGGCGGTCATCACCCCGGACGAGACGGCCGCGGAGGAGGCTGCCGGCGTGGACAGCACGGCCGCGGTCGAAGGAGGAGAAGAAGAAGAGGCGTCCCCGGCGCCCCCGTCCGACGGTGATGTTCCAGCAGTTGCCGACTCCGTTGAACCGGCTGGTGCCGGTGAGTTGATGGGGTACGGGTATGGGTGGACAGTGGAGCGTGTTTTGCGTTGGGTTTCGAGATCTAAAGCGGTGCCTTCAAATCACGACACTTTTTAACTGTGCGCCTTCTCTGCACGGGAGGCTGCTGTGCTCTGATGCCGCAAGGTTGTACACCCTGTGCCATGTATGCACCCACGCACTTGAGTTGCTTCTGTGAGCCAACCCGCCACCGAACGGGCGCCAGCACAGAGCAACAAGAGAGGATAAGCGTCCCACCTTTTTTCTTGTCCGCGACTGCAAACACTACGTGGTGATTCGTTCACCGCAAGACGAAGGTTGTTGTACTCCACCTTCATTGCGCAAACACGGACAGACGGTAGCGGTCCCTGTGTATGGCCGCGAATAAAAGGTCGCCGCCCTGTATAAGGTCGGTGAAATAACGAGACACGGATGGGATATTCAAAGTTTCCTCATTCCATGGACAGTGCCGGACGCCCGGTACATGGCCTACCATGATCTACCAAACCCGTTGGTGTATAGCCTCATACGGTATAGGGTGCACTAGTGTACCGATATTCCTCCAGCATCTGGCCATACAATTGCGGATAAGCGTAGGCAATCTGTCTACCTGCCCCATCACGCCCGAACCAGCCGTTCGGCTGGACCCCAAGTATCCTCTGTGTTGTGTCATGAATGATCTCAAACCATCCTCAGCAAGGAACAAACGGTCACCCACCCCTATGTCTCGCACTTGCTCGCTCTTCTTGTGCACGCGCCCGTGGTAGAACCCGCGGCCGTCGAGGAAGAAACGCCTGCTGCTGCTGCTGCTGCTGCTGCTGCTGCTCCCTCTAGCGATGACGTCGCTGAGGACGCGGCGGCAGCCGAGTCTGTCCCAGAAGCCGCCGCCACCGACGAAGTCCCGGCTGAGGGCGCTGCCTCGGCCGCGGAAACGCCTGCTGAGACGCCCATCGAGGTGGAGGAGGAGGATCACACCGAGCGTGCCGTTGAGCCTGCTGCTGAGCCTGCTGTTGAGCCTGCCGTTGAGGTTGTCGAGCCGGCCGTTGCGCTCGCTGAGCCTGTCGCCGACGCTGCTGAGCCTGCTGTCGAGCCTGTCGTTGTTGAGGCTCACGCGGAGGTTGACGCGGGAGAGGTTGCTGAGCCTGCCGCTGGTGAGCCTGCTGGTGAGCCTGCTGGTAAGCCTGCTACCGAGCCTGTTACCGCGCCTGCTTCTGCTGAGCCTACTTTTGAGGCTGTCGAGCCTGCCGTCGAGGCTGTAGGGCCTGCGGTTGCGGCTGCGGAGCCTGCCGTTGAGCCTGCTTCCGCTGAGCCTGCCGTTAAGGCTGTCGAGCCTGCCATCGAGGTTGCAGAGCCTGCGGTTGCGGTTGCGGAGCCTGCCGGTGAGCCTGCGGAGCCTGCCGGTGAGCCTGCTGAGCCTGCCGTTGAGGCTGTCGAGCGGGCCGTTGAGCTCGCTGAGCCTGTCGCCGACGCTGCTGAGCCTGCTGTCGAGCCTGTCGTTGTTGGGGCTCAAGCGGAAGTTGACGCGGGAGAGGTTGCTGAGCCCGCCGCTGACGCCGCTGGTGAGCCTGCTGGTGAGCCTGCTGGTGAGCCTGCTACCGAGCCTGTTACCGAGCCTGCTTCTGTTGAGCTTGCTTCTGCTGAGCCTGCGGTTGAGGCCGTCGAGCCTGCCGTCGAGGCTGTAGAGCCTGCGGTTGCGGCTGCGGAGCCTGCCGTTGAGTCTGCTGAGCCTTCGGTTGAGGCTGTCGAGCGGGTCGTTGAGCCCGCTGAGCCTGCCGCCGACGCTGCTGAGCCTGCCGTCGAGCCTGTCGTTGTTGGGGCTCAAGCGGAGGTTGACGCGGGAGAGGTTGCTGAGCCTGCCGCTGGTGAGCCTGCTGGTGAGCCTGCTGGTAAGCCTGCTACCGAGCCTGTTACCGCGCCTGCTTCTGCTGAGCCTACTTTTGAGGCTGTCGAGCCTGCCGTCGAGGCTGTAGGGCCTGCGGTTGCGGCTGCGGAGCCTGCCGTTGAGCCTGCTTCCGCTGAGCCTGCCGTTAAGGCTGTCGAGCCTGCCATCGAGGTTGCAGAGCCTGCGGTTGCGGTTGCGGAGCCTGCCGGTGAGCCTGCGGAGCCTGCCGGTGAGCCTGCTGAGCCTGCCGTTGAGGCTGTCGAGCGGGCCGTTGAGCTCGCTGAGCCTGTCGCCGACGCTGCTGAGCCTGCTGTCGAGCCTGTCGTTGTTGGGGCTCAAGCGGAAGTTGACGCGGGAGAGGTTGCTGAGCCCGCCGCTGACGCCGCTGGTGAGCCTGCTGGTGAGCCTGCTGGTAAGCCTGCTACCGAGCCTGTTACCGCGCCTGCTTCTGCTGAGCCTACTTTTGAGGCTGTCGAGCCTGCCGTCGAGGCTGTAGGGCCTGCGGTTGCGGCTGCGGAGCCTGCCGTTGAGCCTGCTTCCGCTGAGCCTGCCGTTAAGGCTGTCGAGCCTGCCATCGAGGTTGCAGAGCCTGCGGTTGCGGTTGCGGAGCCTGCCGGTGAGCCTGCGGAGCCTGCCGGTGAGCCTGCTGAGCCTGCCGTTGAGGCTGTCGAGCGGGCCGTTGAGCCCGCTGAGCCTGTCGCTGACGCTGCTGAGCCTGCTGTCGAGCCTGTCGTTGTTGAGGCTCAAGCGGAGGTTGACGCGGGAGAGGTTGCTGAACCTACCGCTGACGCTGCTGGTGAGCCTGCTGGTGAGCCTGCTACCGAGCCTGCTACCGAGCCTGCTACTGTTGAGCTTGCTTCTGCTGAGCCTGCGGTTGAGGCCGTCGAGCCTGCCGTCGAGGCTGTAGAGCCTGCGGTTGCGGCTGCGGAGCCTGCCGTTGAGTCTGCTGAGCCTTCGGTTGAGGCTGTCGAGCGGGTCGTTGAGCCCGCTGAGCCTGCCGCCGACGCTGCTGAGCCTGCCGTCGAGCCTGTCGTTGTTGGGGCTCAAGCGGAGGTTGACGCGGGAGAGGTTGCTGAGCCTGCCGCCGACGCTGCTGGTGAGCCTACTGGTGAGCCTGCTGGTAAGCCTGCTACCGAGCCTGCTACCGAGCCTGCTTCCTCTGAGCCTGCCGTTGAGGCTGTCGAGCCGGCCGTTGAGCCCGCTGAGCCTGTCGCCGGCGCTGCTGAGCCTGCTGTCGAGCCTGTCGTTGTTGAGGCTCAAGCGGAGGTTGACGCGGGAGAGGTTGCTGAGCCTACCGCTGACGCTGCTGGTGAGCCTGCTGGTGAGCCTGCTACCGAGCCTGCTACCGAGCCTGCTACTGTTGAGCTTGCTTCTGCTGAGCCTGCGGTTGAGGCCGTCGAGCCTGCCGTCGAGGCTGTAGAGCCTGCGGTTGCGGCTGCGGAGCCTGCCGTTGAGTCTGCTGAGCCTTCGGTTGAGGCTGTCGAGCGGGTCGTTGAGCCCGCTGAGCCTGCCGCCGACGCTGCTGAGCCTGCCGTCGAGCCTGTCGTTGTTGGGGCTCAAGCGGAGGTTGACGCGGGAGAGGTTGCTGAGCCTGCCGCCGACGCTGCTGAGCCTGCCGTCGAGCCTGTCGTTGTTGGGGCTCAAGCGGAGGTTGACGCGGGAGAGGTTGCTGAGCCTGCCGCCGACGCTGCTGAGCCTGCCGTCGAGCCTGTCGTTGTTGGGGCTCAAGCGGAGGTTGACGCGGGAGAGGTTGCTGAGCCTGCCGCCGACGCTGCTGGTGAGCCTACTGGTGAGCCTGCTGGTAAGCCTGCTACCGAGCCTGCTACCGAGCCTGCTTCCTCTGAGCCTGCTTCTGCTGAGCCTGCGGTTGAGGCTGTCGAGCCTGCCGTCGAGGCTGCAGAGCCTGCGGTTGCGGCTGTGGAGCCTGCCGTTGAATCTGCTGAGCCTTCGGTTGAGGCTGTCGAGCCGGCCGTTGAGCCCGCTGAGCCTGTCGCTGACGCTGCTGAGCCTGCTGTCGAGCCTGTCGTTGTTGGGGCTCAAGCGGAAGTTGACGCGGGAGAGGTTGCTGAGCCTGCCGCTGACGCTGCTGGTGAGCCTGCTACCGAGCATGCTACCGAGCGTGCTACCGAGCCTGCTACCGAGCCTGCTATCGAGCCTGCTACTGTTGAGCCTGCTTCTGCTGAGCCTGCGGTTGAGGCCGTAAAGCCTGCCGTCGAGGCTGCAGAGCCTGCGGTTGCGGCTGCGGAGCCTGCCGTTGAGCTTGCTGAGCCTGCCGTTGAGGCTGTCGAGCGGATCGTTGAGCCCGCTGAGCCTGTCGCTGACGCTGCTGAGCCTGCTGTCGAGCCTGTCGTTGTTGGGGCTCAAGCGGAAATTGACGCGGGAGAGGTTGCTGAACCTGCCGCTGACGCTGCTACCGAGCCTGCTTCCGCTGAGCCTGCCGTTGAGGCTGTCGAGCCTGCCGTCGAGGCTGTAGAGCGGGCCGTTGAGCCCGCTGAGCCTGCCGGTGAGTCTGCTGAGCCTGCCGTTGAGGCTGTCGAGCGGGCCATTGAGCTCGCTGAGCCTGTCGCCGACGCTGCTGAGCCTGCTGCTGAGCCTGTCGTTGTTGAGGCTCAAGCGGAGGTTGACGCGGGAGAGGTTGCTGAACCTGCCGCTGACGCTGCTGGTGAGCCTGCTGGTGAGCCTGCTACTGTTGAGCCTGCTTCCTCTGAGCCTGCCGTCGAGGCTGTAGACCCTGCCGTTGAGCCTGCTGAGCCTGCCGTTGAGTCTGCTGAGCCTGCCGGTGAGGCTGTCGAGCCGGCCGTTGAGCCCGCTGAGCCTGTCGCCGACGCTGCTGAGCCTGCTGTCGAGCCTGTCGTTGTTGAGGCTCTAGCGGAGGTTGACGCGGGAGAGGTTGCTGAACCCGCCGCTGACGCTGCTACCGAGCCTGCTTCCGGTGAGCCTGCCGTTGAGGCTGTCGAGCCGGCCGTTGAGCCCGCTGAGCCTGTCGCCGACGCTGCTGAGCCTGCTGCTGAGCCTGTCGTTGTTGAGGCTCAAGCGGAGGTTGACGCGGGAGAGGTTGCTGAGCCCGCCGCCGACGCTGCTGGTGAGCCTGCTACTGTTGATCCTGCTTCTGCTGAGCCTGCCGTTGAGGCTGTAGAGCCTGCCGTCGAGGCTGTAGAGCCTGCGGTTGCGGCTGCGGAGCCTGCCGTTGAGTCTGCTGAGCCTACCGTTGAGGCTTTCGAGCGGGCCGTTGAGGCCTCTGAGTCTGTTGCCGGCGCTGCTGAGCCTGCTGCCGAGCCTATCGTTGGTGCGGCTGAAGCGGGACCTGATGTAGGAGAAACTATTGGGCCTGCCGTTGACGCTACTGCTGAGCCTGCCGTTGAGCCTGCTGCTGCTGAACATGCTGCCGCTGAGTCTGCCGCTGAGCCTGCCACTGTTGAGCCTGCTTCTGCTGAGCCTGCCGTCGAAGCTGTCGAGCCTGCCGCTGAAGGGGAACCTGAGGCGGGAGCCGGCGGCTCAGCAGGAGAAGAAGAGCCGGTCGCCGCCGTCACCGCCGCCGTAGTCAAGGAAGACGAAGAACCGGTAGTCGTCGAGGACGACAACACGGTCGGTGAGTGAGCGGTATTGTGGGTGCGCCGGTGGTGTTCCTTTGTTCGGCGTCGTCGTTGGGTGCGCGGATAGTGCATGCGTTGGGCGGAGGATGAGGCGGTTGGCCCGCTGGCGAAGACAGTTTTTGTAACGGGTATTTGCCTGCCCTCTGGATGGTTTTGGCGGTGGGTGTTGACGTTCCGGTTGTGAGATTGGTTTTGGTGAGGAAGGTCCTGCTGTGATTTCAGCAGGATTGACGTGTTGGCCGGGATTTCTACTTGGCCTTTTGCCGAGATCATCGCACCCCGGCGGTTGTTACGGAGTATTCACGACTGGTTGATGAAACTACAACCCCGATATCTGTCTGCGAGCTTCACTCACAGTTCGGTAGGCGGATTTGACTAAATGATGTCTCATGGGTCGTTCTGTCAATATTGTTGATACGAACACTGCAACCCCTCGGTCGCGCGCGACGAAATCCCTTCACGTCTGCCGTAAGCAGCCCCGGCGGAAGACCCGCAAACAACCGACAAGAGCATCGTCGAGGGAGCGGCCACGACTGAAACCATTGCAGCAGACAGCGCAGGCATCGACGCCCCCGCGGATGCTGATTCGACAACCGAGACGCCGCCATCGGAGGAGCGGAATGTTTCGGAGCCCGATGATGTTGCCGCCTCTGTCGAGCCTGTCGTCGTTCCTCCCGCTAATGCGACCGCTGGTGCCGGTGAGCGATGTTTTTTTTTTTTTTCACGAGTGGCGCGAACGCTTCCTTCATGTGCGTGCCGATTCAATGGCTTGGTGGTTGTGGATGGTACCTATTCCCTGAGAGGATGCTACCCGTTCCCTGACGCATTCATGTACAAAGAAGAATGCATGTTTTTATTTTGATAACCGAGAAGGAAGCGCTGCGTATGCTTGATGCGGGAGGGCATTCGAGCTTGACCCCCCTTTTTCCGTTTTTGGTTCCAAAACTTGAAGCAGCATACGAGCCAATAGTCACGCAACGCTGTCAGGCGCATCCAGTGAAGAACCAGCAATGTCGGCCTCCACCAGACAGATTGCTTAACGCGGGCGCGTTGTTGCAAGCGTGGGCGTGGAAGACAAGAGAGCCCAATGCCATCTTAAAGCCGACCTGCACCCACACGAGTTTCCCTTGCCACGAACGTTGATGTGGAACGACCAACGGCCGCACGTCTCCCCCCGTCCTTGAAAATTGTTCGAACATGAACAATAAAGGAAATACTTCACTGCAATAGAGTGCCCGCTCGCAACATACCCCAGTCGAAGGGATATGTTGAAGTCTAGCCTGCTACAATAAGTGAACGTGGAGAGAAACCCTCTGTAAACTCGGCATATTTTTGAGTTTTTCCCCGGGTTAACCCATCGCGCACTGCTTCCACCTGCCCCCGGTGTTCCCCCCCAGTAGAGGGGCCCGCGGCAGCGGAAGAGTCCGTGGCCAAGAAAGACGACCCCGAGCCAGCGGTCTCCGCTGCTGCCGAGGACGCTGCCGTAGCCGTCGAGGAGCCCGTAACCACCCCCGACGAGACGACCACGGAGGAAACCGCCGGCGTCGACACCACGGCCGCGGTCGAAGGAGAAGAACAAGGGACTTCGCCGGCGCCCCCGGCTGAGGATGTGGTCCCGGCGGTCGTCACGTCCGCTGAACAGACTGTTGCCGGTGAGTTGATCCTAATGCGTGGTACTCAATTGGGGTACACTCACAGAGGGGATTCGGTGAAGGAAGGGTGGCGTCTGTTTCGTGCCCGGGTTTCGGGGGCCCATATTTGATGAGGACAGCCGTGTACAGAGCGATTTATTGTTGCTTTGAGCTTTGCGGTCGGTTTGATGAAATCAAGGATGTCCTCAACACGCCTTGAGCATTCGCAAGCTGTTGATGTCGGCCCCGGCAAAAAGTCTCCAGGAAAAGATCACAAACCGCACTCGCCTCGCGATGGCGCACGCGCGCGACAAGCAACTAAGAGCGCTTTAAGGGCACAGAGCTGTTGTATCCCGATGGCTCTTCAAGAGAACACGCGTCCAAACTCGCACATTAGGCCGCCCCAACCCTCGCCACGCGTCGTGTCGCATATCACCCAACGACGTCCATCAACTTCTGCCATCAACCCTAGATACACTACGCCGCTGCTCCCGAAATCCGCGACCGCGAACCCCCTCACCCTACAGAAGAACCCGCCGCCGTCGTCGAGGAAGAGGCACCCGCTGCTTCAGCCGACGACGTTGCTGAGGACCCACCGTCTGAGCCCGTTGTCGTCGAAGACACCGCCGCCGACCCGGCTTCTGCCCCCGCCAAGGATGCCGAGACGCCCGTCCACGAGAGGGGCGGCGCTGAGCCTGCCGCTTCGGCTGAAGCGGAAGCGAGGGGCGGCGCAGCGGAGGAGGAGGAACAGGATGTCGTCGCCACCGCCGCTGCTGCCGCCGAGGAAGAAGAACCGGCAGTCCCCGATGAAGCCGGTAAGAGAGTCGGGTCGGCTGCCTTAGGCGGCGTGGTGGTTATGTAAATGACGCCTTCGTTGGAAGGAGGAGCAGGGAGACTTTCTCTCCTAGCAGTAACGGCCGGTTCGTCGTTGCCCTTGCGGGGAGTGTTTTCCGTAGGCTGATGACTCCCGGTTGTGGTGTCGCTGTGGCTGTGGAAGGTCATGCGGTACTTGGGTGCGGTTTTGTGCCTTGTGCGGGTGTTTTGCCTTGCCGAAGTAGTCCGACCTAGCCTTCTGGCCCCATTCTGCGGCTACGCGCAACGATCGTTGTGCGTGCCTCACACCAGAGGTGGCCCCAAGGCAGGCGTTTCGTCGCTTGCCACTCCTCTCGAGGTAGCCATCTGCCTCGTTGGTGGCTGGCTTCTGATTTCGATCGAGAAACGAGCGATGTCGAGAGAGCCCACATAGACGGCCGCGGCGCACTGAAATGTACCCCTTTCTCACGCCTTTCTTATGATACTTTCTTGGCCGTTGATCCCTGTACAGTATATGGAGAATGAGCGTTTCGTTTTCCCACTGCTTTCGCCTCCGTCACAAACGTGGGTTAACTCCGGCGGAAGACGAAGGAACCACCGACAAGAACATCGTCGAAAAGGAGGCCCAGATCGAGGTCGTTGCGGACGATGCAGTCGTCGACGTTGCTGCTGAACCCGCAGAGACACCATCGTCGGAAGCGCGAGGCATTCCTGAGCCCGCCGATGCCGTCCCTGCGGATGAGCCAGTGGTCGAGGCTGCTTCGCCTGCCGCTGATGCTGCTGCTGGGGTCGGTGAGTTGTGGCGTTTACTGCACGATGAGTTGGCGGTCGAAGATGTTTGTTGTGTGCATGCGTGTGCACCGACACAACGAGTTGATGTGTTCTGCTGGTTTCACCCGCTTGTATCACGAAGGCTTTGTAAATGCTGCTGCGTATCCATTAAGGCACCTTGGACGATGCCGGTGGATAGCGTCGGAATCACGCACAACGATACCGCATGCGGTGTCCCATCTCCCACGAAAGAGCATACCGCCTTGCGTGTGCGTTCCACTTCTTCTATCTTTTTTCTCCCGGTGACCCCTCGCCCGCCTTTCCGGAATGATGCGTGTGTGTGTTCCTCAAGGGGAGGAGCCCGCGTCAGCGGAAGAAGAGTTCGTGGCCAAGAAAGACGACCCCGAGCCAGCGGTGCCCGCTGCTGCTGAGGACGCTGCCGTGACCGTCGAGGAGGCGGTGACCACCCCCGATGAAACGACCACGGAGGAGACTGCCGACGTCGACACCACGACCGCGGTCGAAGGAGAAGAACAAGAGGAGACACAACCGGCACCCCCTGCTGAGAATACTGCTTCGCCGGCCGCGGACTTTGCTGAATCGACGGATGCCGGTGAGTTTGATTGTGGGAAGAGATGGAGGCTACGGGTGACGTGTGGCAGAAAGGGTTAGGGGTTGTTCAGAATTCGTGTTCGGAGCGTGTTTTTTGTACCCGGACAGCGTCAAATGTACAGAGACGTTCTGCGTCGCTCGCTGGGTTTGTGACGAAAGCGGTTTCAGTTCAAGGGTGTCTCTCAACGTCATTTGTCTTGATCCACAAGGTTTGGTTGTGAATATCAGACACCCCCACCGTCACCAGTACATCTCAAACCAAACGCCCCTCTCTCCCCTCCAAACAAACGCACGCGCACGTGCCGCATAGTGGAAGAACCCGTCGCAGCAACGGAAAAATCCGTAGAACCCGCATCCACGGAAGAACCCGTCGCAGCCGCCGAAGAGCCCGTCACCGTCGCAGAAGAACCCGTCGCAGCCATGGAAGCGACCGTCGCCGTCGCGGAAGAACCCGTCGCCGTCGCGGAAGCATCCGCCGCAGCCCCCGAAGAACCCGTCGCAGTCACGGAAGAACCGGTCACCGTCGTGAAAGAACCAGTCGCTGTCGTGAAAGAATCCGTGGTACCCGCGGACGAACCTGTCACCGTCGCGGCAGAGATCGTCGCAGCCGCTGAAGAACCCGTCGCAGCCACTGAAGAGCCCGCAGCCGCGGATAAGCCCGTCGCCGTTGCAGAAGAGCCTGTCGTAGTCGCGGAAGAAACCGTGCTCTACGACACCGTCGGCGACTCGGCCCCGGCGGAGGACTCCACTGCTCCGGCCAGTGTGGAAGATGCAGTGAGTACCGCCGTTGCAGGAGACGAGGAACCGATCGTCGCCGCCGCTTCCGTGAAGGAAGATGAAGACGAGCCGGTAGTAGTCACCGACGATGCTTGCGGTGAGTATGCGTTGGCTACCGGTGGAGGATTTTGCGGTGTTGCTGGGTTGGTGATCCAATTTTGAGATTGTTGTGGCTGTTGATCGAAAGTGCTACAGTGCTTGTACGGAGGTTGCGGGATGTCTTGTTTGGCCGTCGGACTCATGAGTGTTTCGGTATTCGCAGGGATATTTGTTTGCTCACGCACATGTTCTGTCTAAGGTAGTGCTGCCCTTCTCGCCTCTCCTTCTGTGGCTACCCGCGGCCATTCTGCGTTCATCAGACTTAGAGCAACCGAGGGTACACGAGCTATCGCTTGCTGTGTTCCTAAATTTAACCGTAGCAGCAGTCATTGTCGACCTTCCTTCGTCAAATGCGCATTGCTCGCAGAGACATAATCAACGTCAACAGATGACACTCAATTGTTCGCGCGACTGCGGTAGCCCTCGAAAGTTGCTGCGTGAAGGACGACTTCGCCCTTTCATGCCTTTGCTCGGTGTACGAGAGGTTGCACGCTGACTTTCGCTGTGCTGCGGCGTATCGTTCTCGCGCCTGCCGCCGATGCAGACCCGGCGCAAAGTGAAGCGGTCGCTAAGGAGAGCGTCGAAGAGAACGTTACGAACGAGCCTGCCGCAGGGGACCCGGTCGTCGATGCTGCTGTTGCCGCAGCTGGTGCTGCGGAGACGCCTGCCTCAGACGAGCGGGCCATGCCGAAGTCCGCCGATGTTACCGCTGTCGAGCCGCTGGTGGGGGATGCCGCCCCCGCTACTTCTGATGCAGTCGGTGGGTGGCGGATTATTCTTCGCTCTTGTTTTTCTTTTTCTTTCGGCGATATGAACGCGCCCTTTTCAATTTATTTCTTGTGTTCCTGGGCAATGGTGTGTGCGGATGTCTGGTGCTGTGCAACATTTTTCGTGGCTTGTCGACTGCGTGATGCTGCGTGCTATGAGAGCCCTTTCAACGTACGGCGACGAGGTTTGAAACGACGACGTGCTTTGGTAGCTCGATTTCCATTTTTCGTTCCAAGCTCCAGCCTCCGGATAGCACTACTGCATAGCAAAGGGATTCTTTGTGATGATCCTACGCCATCAGTCCCAATCAAGGTATCACGAGACATACATCCACAGTTGCTTAGACACGGCCGAGGAAGAAGATTTGCCCTTTGAACCGTCATCTGCTTCCGGTAAGCTGTACAACAGGCAGACCGACGCCGACAACCTACCGTGTAATGTCCAGGTACTGTACCCTCCCGTTGGTGTTGTACGACCGCCGCAGTCTCGCCCTCTCCAGACGCGCATGTAATTGTTGCCCCGCCCCTCTCGGTGGCTCGCCCGTCTCTTTCAGTACCATCCGCGTGCCCTCCACGACACACCAGGGAAGGGCCTCATGACATCGCGCCTTCTTGCAATCCTCTTTCCCCTCCGCCGTCAGTAGTCTAACGACTACGGCATGCACGACTATGAGTACACCCCCCCCCGCCCATGCTCTCTGCTCTACCAGGACCAGCGAAGGAGGGAGAGGAGGCGGACACCAAAAAAGACGTCCCTGCCGCCGAGGAAGACGCTCCTGCCGCCGCCTCAGATGTGATCAAAACCCTCGCCGAGGCCGCGGGTCCAGCCGACGCGGAACCCGAAGCTGAGACCAAGTTGGAGGAGGCCGGGGAAGAGGAGGAGCCGGTGGTCGTCGGCGAGGGAGAAGATGCCGCCGACGTTGCTGATGAGGATCCAGGTGGAGAACGGTAGTGCCGAACGCATGAGTTGCCTGTTCGCTTTGGTCGTTGTCTTTGTTGCTGTCCCATGTTTGCACTGATGATTCAATTCGCTGCCGTTCTTGTCAACGCGTTCCCTCGCTGACAATGCCCCCATTCCGAGAAGCCTTTGGCAAAGTAGGAAGGACCGATTGGCCGTCGGTGATCGGTCAATGCTCCGTTGGCGCATGGTCGACGGTCCACCATCTAAAGCATTGCAAAACTTGAGTACTCCCAGCCCCCTGCTGCACCATCCACCTGTTCCAATTCCACGCAGACAAAGAAACCGTGGCTAAGAATGATGCACCAGAGCCAGCCGTATCCGCTGCGGTTGTGCCCGAGGTTGCAGCCTCCGACGTAGCGGGGACCCCCCCCGATACCGAGACCACGGAGGAGTTTGCCGAGATCGACACGACGACGGTGGACGCGGCTCCGGTGGTATCCCCGCCTGATGAGGTTACTGCTTCCCCGGACGCGCCGGTTGGCTCTGCCGAAGACACCGCTGCCGTGGGTGAGTGATACAGAACAGTTTGTGGTGGCAACGTGTGCGCAATGTGGAGGCCGGGAATCAGAGGGAGAGGCGGGGACAGAGAGAGATGAAAGAGAGACACGCACATAGAACGGGAAAAGACAGGGAGAGAAGGGACAATAGAAACGTCGCTCTCACTCGGTCAGGTTGTGGGTTGAAGTTGATGAAAAGGCTGGCATCCTACTTCACCCGCGGTGAGGGCGCAGACGAGCGTTGGGTTGCTGCAGGAGCTCCTCCTTATGCAGCAGCTGTTCCACTGCCATGTTGGTTTCCCCCCGCGACTCTCGCTGAAGCATGGTGTATGGTATGTTTCCGCCGTATTTTCCTGCTGTCTTGGATGATACAGCTCTGGCCGAAGAAGCCTCGGCCGACAAGAACGTTGGCGAGGCCCCAGCAGAGCTTGCCAGCGATAGCGTGAACGAGGCCGGAGCCGCCCCTGTTGTTGTTGCTGCTGCTGCTGCTGCTGCTGCTGCTGCTGCTGTGTCCGCTGAGACGCCTTCCTCGGACGAGCGGGCAATTCCGGAATCCGCCAATGTTGCCGCCGTCGAACCCGTTGTAGAGGGCGACGCCTCCGCTGCCGGTACGTTGTGCAAGGGTTAGCCTACAGTGGTCCCGATAGGTACGGTGTGCTCGCTCCATATTTCGTCGATTCATGGCCGCTCCGGTAACCGTAGACGCTAGCATAACCGGCGAGTGTTGTACGGGGCACCGATGTGGGTTTGTGGAATAGTGTCACGCTCCTTTTTTTTTCGGGGAGGGTCGGAGGATGCTTTTCAGACGCTTGATTGAAACCTTTATTGTCAAGACTCCACCTGGTTCTGTTTTGCTTGTCTACGCTGTCGCGGTCCACGGGGTCGACAACGTCCAATAGCACCCCCCTAAGTTCGCTCCTTGGTCCTCCAGTGCCCTCAAAGGAAGAGACCAAGACCAAGGGCGATGCTCCTGCCGCCACCGGCATTACGGAGGAGGCATCCACCGCTTCTTCGGTTACCGCCGCAGCGAGGGTCATCGAAGAGGACGAGGGGTTGGTCGTGGTCAACGGCGAAGAAGATGTCGTTTCTGCTGGTGAGCGCGTGAACGATGAGCACAGCAGTGTGGACGGGATGCAGTATAGCCTTGGCTGGGACGTTAAGCGTGGTTTCGGTAGGTGGCAAGGCGTGGGGTTTAGGGTTAAGGATAGGTGTACGACGCCCCCTCCTCTTGAGATACAAATACAATCCTCCCGAAGGCGGCGGTCCCGACCTGGTGTCAGCCCCCTCCTACTCCCGAGAATCTTTCTGGAAGGGTGACCTGCCGGCACTGTATGAATATCAGGCGTAATTTTTTGTTTGTTGCTGTTGGCACCAGAAAAGTGGTAAATTGCCGATAAGCCCTGTTGTTGCTGCCTTCATTGTGCGGTCGGTGGTCGTCGCGTGGTGTGGCCTCATATTGAAGCGATCCCCGCACCCTGTGTCGGTTTGAAATCCCCGGGCGTGAATAAAAGGCGCCGACACGGAAGTTCCCCAGGACCCGGCAAAGCCGGTCGCAGAGGACGCGAACGTAGGCGCCGCAGCTGCCGCGCCCGCTGAGACGCCTTCTTCAGCGGACGTGCCGGAGCCCCCCGTCGATGCTGCCGAACCCATCGTACAGGACAACGCAACCGCTGCCGTTGCTGCCGCCTCCGCTGTGGTGGGGGGGTCAGCTGCTACCGATAAGCCCGCTTCGGCCGAGATTCGTACCGCCGAACCGGCAGGGAAACCTGCTACGGCGGAGGAACCTGTCGCAGAGACCGCGGTCGATGCCAGTCCGCGTTCCAGTCCCGGCAACGGCCACGGTAAGGGCGGCGGCGGCGGCGGGTTCCTCAAGGGGATGAGGAAGTGGTTCAAGAAGGACGGAAAGCGTCCGAGTTCCTTCAAGAAGGGCAACAAGGGGAACAAGCAGCAGCAATCGGAGCACTGGACGGAGAATCTCGCGTCCTCCCCGCCCTCCGCCGTCGCCGCCGCCGCCGCCGCCGCCGCCGCGGCGGAGCAGGGGAAGCCCGAGAAGCAACAAGAGGAGGAGCAGGAGGAGGAATTGCTGACCACCGCCGCCGCCGCTGACCCCGAAGCCAGGACCGACGGGACTGCTGGCGGTACTGGCGGTGCTGAAGCCTCTGCCGGGGTTAACGTTGCCGGCGCTGCGGTTGTGGTGAGCGAATACGAAGAGGCAGTTGTTGTTGGGGGCGGCATGAACGAGCAAATAGAACAGTCAACGCAGATGGTTGGGCGGCTTGACTTTGGGACAGAGACGCGGTTTCCAACAGCGAAAGACTCGTGACGCAAATGTAGTCGTGGACCATTCGCTCTTTTTTTTGGTATCGTGCGGGGCGAGAAGGAACTGGGGGGAGCGACCGCTGTGTTTCATTTGGATTTAGTTTCATATCGGTGTCGTTTGGAAAAAGAGAGCCAATTCTGCATGTAACTTCCGGAAGGGATGATGCTCAAGGCTAACTACCACCTCCCGTGGCACGACAGAATCACATCCCTGTCGGTAGAACAACACGAATCTTGGGTTCAACAGCGAGAGGGGATACATGCCGTCAGTCGGTGCTCAGACCCTTCGGGATGGGGGCATGACATCGCGGGTTACCCGTCTCACATGCTCGGCCAATGAGCTCTTGTGTCAACAGCTGTCATTTTTGTTGCTGCAGACGTTGGCGGGTTACCGTAAGGTTGCGGGTCAGCTAGAGCACAGAGCACAGGGGTGCGATCGATTTTCAAAGCGCAATTTTTCCACGACCAGAAGGGTGCGAGGGCCAACTGATACTTCTCAGGAAAGCTCTCGATGATAAATCTCCAAAACCACCCTTGTCGACAGTGGTAACCTCCTGGTCGTGGAGAAATTAGGCTTTGAAAGTCGTTCGCACCCCTGTGCTCTAGCTGGCCCGCAACCTTACGGTTTTTCCTTAAAGCAGAGAGACGACACAGACGGGGGAAGGCATCAAGAAGCAGGGTCACACTCTTGGCCGCCGGGAAACACATGTTATGTAAGACGCTCCTCTTTCCCGCCAACCGCGTGTTTTGCCGCCGCCCGCCCCCTCCCTCGCTCGCTCGACCGCCGTGCGGTGCAATCATTACTCGCGCCAGATGATGTAACCAGCCGCGCGACCTACGGAAATCCCGTGCTGCACGCTGTTCGGTTGCCGCTGCTGCTGCTGCTGCTGCTGCTGCTGCTGCTGCTTCACACTACCCCATCCACCCAACGGCAGGTGCGCGGCGGAGGCGGCAGCCCCGCCCCAATGACGGCGGCAGAGGCAGCAGAGGCAGCAACGGCAACGGCGGCACGGCCACCGAGTTGGCCGCGTGTGGTTCAGGAAATGGTCGTTGCGTTTTGGGTCCAGATCGTCGCACTAGCAAGGTTTTTGACGAAACGGCCGGTGGCAGGTGCGGAAGAGCAATGAGAAAAATGCGCCCCGCACTTGCCGCGGAGTCTTCGGTGCCTGTTGAGTGACACTGCACCGGACCGAAGAATGGGGCTCAATTTTTGTTTGTTTTTTCTTGTTTTTGCCATGCCTTCCTTCCCTGGGTGGTGTCAGTTGCACCTGAATTCTGTATCTACTCGGCTTGCCAACTTGTCGGCGTAGTAGAGCCTGGTCCATCGGCGGCGGCCTTTGAAGATTTGCTAAACGGGACCGGTTCTTGCGTTTTTTTATTATGGGGAGAATGTGTTTGCGATTCCGAGGCCACTCGGTATGACTTAAGTGTCACACCGGGGAGTGGCCTCTCCGGGCGCGGTGGCGATGCACGTTTTTTGCCAGAAGCTGCCTCTTGAGCTTAGATACCATTCGTTTTGCGTACGCTTGGGAGCACTTGTGCGCGGTGTGGTCGTCCGCCCCACTTCTTTGGTGTTGTGATATGTTTTACCCTCTTCTTGTACACCCTTCCCTTTATTCGCGTTCGCAGTGGTCGTAGACTCTTCCGGTATTGCCGTGAAATCCACACCTTGCTCGTACGTGCATGATCCCCCGAACTTGCTTGCTGTTTGTTGTGGTCTCTGAATGTAAACCCTTTTATGTATGCCTTGGTACCATATTCGTTTGTACGGGGTTTCGTCTCGGAAGTGCTTTGCGTGTTTTTCTGTTAGGTGGCGGTGAGCTGTGTCGGGAGGCAAATTCCGCCGCAAGTTGTGGGCATTCTTGGGCCCGAAGTTAGGACCCATCGGGGTCACGTTTTTCGCGGGCCACGCTTTTGTAAGAAACGCCCAGTTGGAAAAAATGGCGAACGGACCCAGTCGCCGTAAAAAATCGTTTGAAGAAGCGTCGCTGAATGAAAATCTTCGTGTACCGTGAGTTTTGTGTGGCGACTGGTAAGTCGGTCCGAGTTTGCATCATGCCTTCGACAGGGTTTCAGGCAGCCAGTGACGTCGGCAGCGCTTGGCTTCAAGGGGTGACATGAACGGAGCATGTGCAGAGGATATCGAGGCATTTGCCAAACGTACTGTATGCCGTGGAGAAAAGTGTGCTAACGGGGGAAGGAGTTGCAAGTTACCCGTTTTTTTTTTTTGCTTCTCTCTCATGGCATTCCGAGTTTCAAGTTGTGGCAAGCGGGGGGAAGATGTTCGAGTCATCACTTTTGTGCTTTGTTTTTGCTCGCGGTTTGCAAGTTTCAAGGTCAAAGTGTGACGAGGGGGGAAAAGAGGTCCCGAGTTATCGCGCTCGTGTTTTTTTTTTTTTCCCGTACGTTGTTGCGGGGTTTATATAGGCTGTTGAGGAGGTGTTACATCGACAGTTCTGTCCTATCGATATGTCGTAGCGTGGCAACCGCGGCGGCGGTGCGGTAGAGATGGGTGCGCGTGAATTGAGTTACCTAGATGGGAGGAAAGAAGAATGTGCGGAGTTCCTGATAGCCGGCCACTAGCTATGTGCGTTTTTTTTGGGTGTAGGGTAACGTGCGTTATTTCGGCTCTTTTTCACCGGTACTAAATCCCGATTGATGTGTGTGTTTCCTGACAACCGGCCTCTTGTCATGTGCGTTTTTGCCGTGTGGGGTAAGTGCGTTGTTTTGGCACTTTTCATCGGTAACACATCCCGATTGATGTGTGTGGTAGGTGTGCTTCTTCATGGAAGACGCGCTTGAGTTGAAAGCCAGGGGCGAGTGAGATAGCACCAAAAGCTCGTCGTCTGCGACAGAGGTCTTTGATGAGGGTGAAATGCAAGAGTCTCCGGGATTCTTCATCTTGGTGCATGGTATAAGGTACCCGACGTCATTTTCATGGGATTTTCCCGTCTAGCACGTTGCAGTTTTTACCGATGCACCAACCACCGCTGAAAAAAGAAGAGGTGGAGTTGGCCACGGAGTTAGTTGAACGTCTTCTCATGTGGTCCTTGACCATATTGACATGGGGTCGCAGTTATATGAGAGTGTTTTTGTTCTCCTGGGTTAACAGGAGGGATCGTGTGCGAGGTGATGATAGAAGCCCCTGTCGACGTTTACACGATGTATGCGTATTCTTCGCGTGCCCTCTTGTTCCATGTGCGCCATGGGAGACTGTATTTCCGCAAGTCTTTCTCTCTTTTACCCTCTTTTATCCGCTGGCTATCTGACGGACCCTTGTCGCATTCATATTCATGCTATTGAGTTTTCGGCGTGATGAAGTTTCCAATGTGGACGTTGGTGTTCCAACTCTCGCCAAGTTGGATTTCTAGATCGTTTCTGCGCAGCTCACGGTGTGGCGTTTTTTTACGGTAGTTGCTCCGTCCTCGCTGCAGCGGGGCGGGATCGATACGAGTAAGAGCTCAGACCAGGCTTCAAAAGGTCAGTCTAATGCATTTTGCTGTTGCTTTTTTTCCTTGGTGCTGCTTGTAAGACCCGGCTTTGGCAGACCAACGGTACTGACTGCATTCTCCGTTTTTGTTTCGAGTGTTCCTTGTTCTGCGGCTGCTGCGCTCAGCTACAACTACCTGCCGATACATCCTTGTTCTTTTTCGGGCGCATGGTGACAAGCTTTGTGGAGTAGATCCACCTCCACCCCGCGTGCTTGGTAGAAGTAACGAAGTAAAGAGTTGCGATCGCCCGTGTGGGATGGAGTTTTGTCCAGTAATGTATCCCGGACGTTCATGCTGCCGATGTTGTGGTAGGACGGGGCGGGTAGGAGAGCCAGTCAATGGCTTTCCGGTTGCGCGGCAAATACACGACACCGTTCACATGTAGCTTCGAGTCGAGCGGGCGGAGAGGTGGTTGACGATTTTCATTGGCATCATCACCTCTGCTACCCTGCGCTTGGTCCTCTTCCTTCGAGTTGGTCCAACGTTGAGATAATTGCTCTGTGCTGGCCGACATGATACTGACTGATGGTATCAAACTAACTGAAAATAATTGGGTACCGAAAGAGCGATAAGTATACCCCCGCCCATCACTACCGCCGTGGAACTGCCGAGTGCAAAAGCTTTTCTGTTGGCGCAATTCTGATGCGGGGCCTGTCACACAAAAACAGGAATCAACCTGTCCCTGATGTTCCCGTCCTTCTCTCGAACGAGAAGTGTTGGGGAGATTCTCCGATTATGACACAAATGAAAGCCGCCGCTGCGTACTTATGATGTTCCGGAGACAATTCTTTCCGTCTCTCCCCGTTTCTCCCATGTTGCAGCTTGATTTTCGTGTAACGTGCTGAATATGAGTGTTCACTGATCAAGAATAAGAAAAAAAATAAAAAATTGCACACGACCTGCACTAAGCCTACTGGGATGTCACCCAACCAACACCGAAGCTCGATCTCCCCTCACGGCTCAACCCCATCTTGGCAAAAAGCCCTACTTTGCACAATCCCTCGGCGCTGAGTTGGGTCGTCGACGTTCACCCGCCTGCCGAGGTCCGTGAAGCCATACGGGAGGTCTGGAAACGGTTGCAGAAGAACGTGCGCCTGGTTCCTAAGCTGTTGCTGCTGTCGTTGTTGTTGCTGCTGCTGCTGAAGCTCCCACTGCCGTGTGCGCTCGGCTAGGGCACCGGCCGCGTGCACTATCTCTTTCCCGCCGATGTCCTCGTCGTGAACGGAGAGGAGCATGCTCGCGAGAACCTCGGGCGGTAGCTTGTTGCAGCGGGGGTGCTCTGAGCTCGACGCGACGGCAGCAGCAGGACAAGAAGAAGCAGCTGGTGATGGTGGTACTGAGAACAACGCCGGTGTCGACGTCGTCGTCCGCGCTGCTGTTTGGCCTCCCGTTGCCACCCCCGACGCGTCGGCGTTGTTGTGTTCATCAACCCCAGCCGAAAGAGAAGTCGTGTTTGGCGTGGCCATGGGTCTCGTCCCGCTGGGCAGACGCGGGGGGGCTTGTCGTTGCCGGTGTCCCTCCGACTTGAGCAAATCCATCCCTTTCGTGGACGGCACTCCATCCCTGACGCCGCCGGGCACAACACCCGCTTTCGAAGTATCCGTGGCCTTTGCCCTTCCGCCACCGTTTCGTCGCCCATGCTCGTGGTAGCTGTTGTTGATGTCGTGATTCCCCGACAGGCTCGCCCTCCATATCCTCTCAGACGCGGCAGCAAGGCGGCGGTCGATCCTTGGAACGTCGCCGATCACACCCGTGTGGTTGTTAACCGGTTTTGTCGTCTTGAACCGCTTCCTATAACCAGTAGCAGCGGCGTCAGCGTCCACGCCTAAGCCCCCTATTTCCATACCGGACACCAGGGTAAGCGTGTCTCTTCTCTCGGCGGGAGGGGGTGCCGTAGCAACGGCGCCGCCGTCCAACGTAGCGGTTGGACGATAGGAGGCGCCCGCGGCGGTGGCGGCGGTAGTGGCAACCGCCCGATGCTCGTCATCGTCTTCGTTACTTCCACCGCGATTTGTGCCGGCGTCGGAATCGGTTAATCGTGCGTCCCCGTTCCTGCTGCCAACCTCGCTCTCTTCGCCCCCTCCGTCTGAAGACGAACCGCCGCCGCTGCTCGCGTCGCAGCCGTCCGCCGCGGTGCCGTCAGGACTATCTAGGAGGGAAGACCCAAGCGAAGTGCCATCTGCGCGACCACCGTCGCCCTCGTCTGGCGAGCACGACAAGCCCGTGCCTTCTCTTCCGCTGGCCTTGAAAGACGCGACGGTGGCCGCGGTGAGAGCGGCTAGCCGCCGACGCTTCAGCTCCGCCTTTAGAGCCTTGGGCCCCTGATTGTTTCGGTGATAGGGTAATGAAAAGGGTCTGGAGAAAAGCAGCTCGGGTTTGGAGGGTGGCTTCAGGTTAACCTCTTGGTTTTCGACCAAGACCAAAGGCTAGGTTTGTCATGGTTGGAGCAAAGGGTAAAGGTAGGGGGCATGGAGCGTGGCTAGAAACGACTTCATCGACAAGGCCAAAATCGGCGTTACATTATGGGTAAAAACATTGTCGAGGTTCAACGGAAGGTAGATTATGCATGAACACATGGCTGGAGGAAGGGAAACGGCTGACCGAAGGAACATCGGCACAAGGCGAATGGTGAAGTACGACATGTCGAGCAACAATATTCCATCGTAAGCAGTGAACCAAACTTCGCAGCAAGGTCTCCAAACACGACCGAAAACGTGAAGAAGGGAAGAACAAAGAAAGCTGAGGCTTCACAGTTGGTCCGAAGAAGCTAGGAAGAAGGCTATAAAAAATATATATATTTCGGGGTTGCTGGCGCTAGCAGCGGAGTCAAAAATCTATCGCGTAGCCGGCAAGGACAGCTCCAGTGAGTAACTCTCGGCGTCTTTACCATATGGGCTGATTTTCGAGATGGGTTCATTCCCGCGTTTGAAAGTTTTTTGCCCCCGGCGTTCTATAGCCGTACAACTAGACGGAAACGACTCCCGTGCACCCCCCCCCCCCCCCCCCCCCCCCCCCCCCCCCCCCCCCCCCCCCCCCCCCCCCCCCCCCCCCCCCCCCCC